ATTAACTTTAAAGTAACTCAAAATTTTTCTCCATAAATTTCAAATTTTATTTTTTTTATCAAAAAAAAATTTTTTTCTAGTATTAAATAATTATAATAATTACTTAAAAAAAATTACTTGCTCCTAAAAATAGTAACAAAAATCTACTATTATTTTTCCATTAACTTTAAAGTAACTCAAAATTTTTCTCCATAAATTTCAAATTTTATTTTTTTTATCAAAAAAAAATTTTTTTCTAGTATTAAATAATTATAATAATTACTTAAAAAAAATTACTTGCTCCTAAAAATAGTAACAAAAATCTACTATTATTTTTCCATTAACTTTAAAGTAACTCAAAATTTTTCTCCATAAATTTCAAATTTTATTTTTTTTATCAAAAAAAAATTTTTTTCTAGTATTAAATAATTATAATAATTACTTAAAAAAAATTACTTGCTCCTAAAAATAGTAACAAAAATCTACTATTATTTTTCCATTAACTTTAAAGTAACTCAAAATTTTTCTAAATAAATTTTTTATTTAATTTTTTTTTATAAAAAAAAAATTTATTTTACTACTAAATAATTTAAATAATTACTTAACATAAAAAACAATATATGCGCCTACAAATAATCAAGATCCACGGTGTAAAAATGATTAACAAATGTATACAATAATAAATAATAATAATAATAATAATAATAATAATATCTTCTTCTACCTATACTAGTATTTATTAATAAATATTAGACAGTAGAGTAAGCATTTGTACTTGTATTAATAATTGTATGGACGATGATAAACCTATAGCCCAAGCCGAGGCCTTCAAGATACCTCCCTCCACAATCTCCCTACGTTACAATCCATATTAGCACATATAAGCGAGGTATTTACGCAATTTGCATGTAATGTAAGCGGCATATCGTTGTCTGTTATTAAATAATTCATTATAATTATCATTATTATATTTATATTCATGTTCATTTCATTCACATCATTTATCATACATCATACATCATAGTTATAAATATTAAATATTTAAAAATTATCCAAAAAAATAAATAAATTTTAAGGTTTAGTGTAACTATTTAGTATGTAAGAAATGGTGCATCCCGTCGTTACTAAACGAGTATGCACAGCACACACCGGAAGAAGTAAAAAGAGTATTCTAAATCCCGCACACGCAGTACAGGGTTCGATTCCTACTTGAATACTAATTTTATATTAATGTATTATTGTGTCAATTTTTTTTATTAAATATTTTTTTTTATTATTTGGTTTTGGTGTGTTGATTTTTTTTTGGCGGCTTAGTGGCATTAAATAATAATTGTTATTATTGTAATAAATTGAATAAAATTTTATGTAAAAAAATTTAAAATTTAGGCGAGATAATTAAATAGAAAAATTTGGTGTTTTATTGATTGCAGATCGGAAGCTATTTGTTGGCATGCTGTCAAAGAAGTACAGCGAAAATGATGTAAGAAACATGTTTGACGTTTATGGCGCAATTGAAGAGTGCTCGGTATTGAGGGATAATAGTACCGGGCAAAGCAGAGGATGTGCCTTTGTTACATTTGCAACTAAACAGCATGCCATTAATGCTATTAAAGCACTCCATCATTCCCGTACAATGGAGGTAATGTCACTTATTATTGTTATATTATTGTAATTACTGTTTTCACAATTGCTGGTTGGGAAAGGACATCTTCTTTGGGTTATTATTATTATTGTTCTTCGTTTTCTTTTGGGTATTATTTTCGTGACTTGGGAATTGTTAAGTCACCGGATTTTTAATTTCAGGATTACTTGTATACTGACGTTTGCTAGATTATTTTTATCTGTTGTGACAGAATTTATTTAATTTGGAGTTTAGATAATTTATATAATTTTTATTAGAATTTTTATTAGTTTTTTGATAAGTTAATAATTAGAAAAAAATATTTTTTAACAATTTTAAAAATGTGTAATTAAAAAAAATTATCAAAAATTTTTTTGAGAATTTTTTAGATCATATAATTTTTTTATGATTATTGTACTTAATATTCTTACTTTATTTTATAATTAGAAATTTTTATTCAAATTTATTTTATGAAGAGTGCCAAATTTTTTATTATAATCTACATTATTAAGGAAATAAGAAAAATTTTGTCTCCAGGATAGTCATATGTTAAAATCTTGCATTTGAAAATATCTTTAGAGACATAATTAAGAAATTACCTTGAATCTTGAGAACTATTGACATTTTTAAAGATATAAGCTCATCCCGATGTTATACTCATCGAGACCTTTCATTTGAGTACTTACATCAATTTTTCATATATTTATATATATTATATATATGAATATATTCATGAATATGTATATGAAAAATATATCAAAATGCATGTGGGTACTCAAATGAAAGCTCTTGGTGAGTGTAACATCAAAATGAGCTTATATTTTTAAAAATATCAATAATTAAGAAATGACCTTGTATCTTGTGAAATATTTACATTTTTTAAGATATAAGCTCATTCCGACATTACTCTCATCGAGACCTTTCATTTGAGTACCCACATCAATTTTTCATATATTTATATATTTTATATATATGAAAAATATATCAAAATGCATGTGGGTACTCAAATGAAAGCTCTTAATGAGTGTAACATCGAAATGAGCTCATATCTTTAAAAATGTCAATATTTAAGAAAGTACAGTACAATTTAACAAATTTATTATTTAATAGTGTACAAGTCACGGCAGTCACGTAGTGACTGCAAGGTTGTTAGTTTTGATTATTCAATTTAGATAATTGTTTTTTTTCCAAATAAAATAATTTTTGTAAAGAATTTAAATTAGTTTAAAATCAAATTTTGGTCTAAGGTTTAATTTAATGAAGACTTCTTCAAGTAATTTTTTCAAGTTTTGATTATTAAATTTAGAGTTCTTTATTTAAATAAAATAAATATTGTAAAAAAAGAAGTGAATTTTTTTATTTAAAAAATTATTTTTGAATGATTTAATTTTATAAATTGTAATTCTGTTTATATTTTCTATTTTTAATAATTTAATTAAAAATCAATAATAAATATTGTAATTTATACGTACTGTTTTTTTAAAAATTTCGAATTAAAAAATCATTATTGAGAATTTTAATAAAATTAATCATTCTACAATTTGCAATAATAATTCAAATTTTTAATTAAATCAATAAAACTTTATAAAAATTTATTTATTGAACGGTGATGGTTGAAATTTGAGTTTTTGATAAAATTAATAAATTTTTCAATAAAACCACTCAAGATTTTAATATTTTATTAACCTTTTAGCACATTTTTAAATAAATCTTTTCTACAAGCTATCTTGATATCTTCAAGTCGACTATAAAACTTCTAAAAATAAATAATTATAAATTGGGTCTTTGAAAAAAGGGGTATTTAAATTACTCAGAGGCCGAGTATTTCTGTCTCAATAAATTATAACCGGAAATCCGCCTCAATTATCGATTACACTAAATATAAACTTAACCTTTCGGTAAACTTTTCTCTCTAACCCACTGGAGATACAATATAATAACCCGATTTTAAATTTATCATTGGATCATATCAAACACACCCACCAATTGAGATATTTTTAAGAATATTTATTTTTTATTTAATAATTTTTTTATGTACTGAAAATTATTGAAACAAAAATTTGAAAATTTTTAATTATTAAAATTAAGAAAAAAAATTTTTTTAACATTGAAAATATCAAAGAATCTTCCAAGCTCAAAATATTAAAAAAAAAAAAAACTCAAAAGAACAATTATAAAATATCAAAAAATAAAATTTCCTAATTTGAAACATTAAAAAAATTTTTCAAAAATCAAAAATTGACAAAAAAATTAAAAAATGTTTAAAATTCTAAAGTCAATAAAATTGTAATAAAATAAAAATATTCCAAATTAAAAATTTTTGATAGTTAAAAAAATGTTCAAAACTCAAAAATTAGAGACAAAGGATAAAAGTTTGGATAAATCCGAAATTTTTAACAATAAAAAAATGTTTCAAGACATAAAAATTGATAAAAAAATCTTTTAAAAATCAATAAAATTGTATTGATTATAGATTAACAAATTTTTTTAAACTCAAAAATTAAAGAAATAATTTTTTAATTTGAAAAAATCCAAAAATATTCCAAATTAAAAATTCTTAATAATTAGAAAAAATGTTTAAATCTAAAACATTAGACAAAAGATACAAATTTGGAAAAATCCAAAATTTTTAACAATAAAAAAATGTTTCAAGATAAAAATTAATACAAAAATCAAAAATTGCCAATAAAATTCAACAATTAATAAAATTTTAATTAATTAAAAAATTTTTTAAAACTCAAAAATTAAAGAACTAATTTTTAAATTTGAAAAAATCCAAAAAAATTCTTAATAATTAAAAAAAAAGTTCAAAACTAAAAAATTAGCCAAAAAATAAAAATTACTTCAAATTCAAAATTTAAAACAATAAAAAAATGTTTCAACCTAAAAAAGAATAAAAAATCTTTTAAACTTGAAAAATTTTCAAAAAATCCAAAAATTCATGTGGGTACTCATTAAAAAGGCCAAAAAATTCCTAACAAAGCACTTTAACTAATTCTAAAAATTTTTCAGGGTTGTTCATCGCCATTGGTTGTCAAGTTTGCTGACACGCAAAAAGAAAAGGATCAAAAGCGATTGCAGCAGTACCAAGCAAACTTATGGACCATTGCGGGTACAGTTGGGATGCCAGCGCCGCACTATTTAACGAACGTAAGTAAAAAAAAAACCTCCGCAATTTTTTTCAAAAATCCTTTGAAAAAAAATAAATTGATTGTAGAATGATACTCATGCATTGGCATCCGCGCAATTACTCCAACAGCTACAAACAACCCTGACACCGGGTGTAGGACCCTCAGCGGTAGCTTGTCCCACTGGCGCAAATAATCCTGCAGCCATGAGCACCGTTCAGCACCAGCTGTTGATTCAGCAGCACCTTGGCCTGAACGGAGCCGCGGCTGTAACTCCTCAGGCTGTTGCAAGTCTCCCAGAGATGACCCAGAGCCATCTCCAAGGACTGGCAACTCTGGCGACTTTGGGCGGTGCCAACACTGGCGAATACATCGGAGGTAATTTAATATATATAATCTGTCACATTTCTTAATAAATATTTATTAATAACACAATTGCCAATAGATTTTGTTTATCTTACAGCTAATCCCGTCGGCGTTACCTCACCTATGAGCATGCAAGATCTTATGGCACTCGCATCGATGACTAATGCTGCTAATATTCAAGTACCTTCTGGCAGTAAGTTTTTTTTTTTATTGTTAATGTTATTCTTCAGTCTTAAGGCTGTATTTATATTTTATTATCTTATTACTCGATTACAAAAGTTACACTGATAGAAGGATTTATTAAGTATTAATAATTTGATTTATTTAATTTAATAAATATTTATTTGAGAGAAAAGTTCATTTATTAATGCACAGAAAAAAAAGTTTACTTGATGTTAAAAAATCATTTAACAGTTAAAAAAGCTTATTAAATATAAAAAAAAATCCTTCTATCAGTGTACAAAATTTTTTTTTTATTAAAATAATTTCATAGAAAAAAATTCAGCAGATCTATTTTTTTTTAACAGCAAAAATAATTTATTAAAAAAAAAATTGACTAGATATTTTTTTTTTCAAGCTAATTAAAATAATTTAAAAGAAAAAAAATTAAGCTGATATTTTTTTTTAGCTAGTTAAAGTAATTTCGTTAAATCTTATAGAAAAAAAATTGAGATAATTTTTTTTTTATTGCCTGATTAAAATACTTTTATTTAATTTTATAGAAAAAAAAATTGAGTTGATAATTTCATTTAAAATAATTTGATAGAACAATAAATTATTCCAATATCCATCAAAATTAGTGGGTTAAAAATCAATAATTGATTCTTTGATACAAAGTGCATAAAGTATTAAAAAAAAAATTTATTCAATACTTTAACGATTCAAATTATTTTTAAAAAAATTATCTATAATTTTTTATATAAATTTTTATTTTTTTAGAGTTTAATAGTTACTCCAAAATAAAGAGAATATTATTCAATTTATTTGACTAAATTATTATTATTTTTTTTACAGCATTGGGTGGATTAGTTAATTCACAGGGAAGTCTCACTCAATGTAAGTACAATTTATTAAAATTCAGTACTTTAATTATTGTCAATTTACTTTAAAATAAAATAAAAAATTTTCTAAATTTTTTTTGGTAAAAAAAAGTAATTTTAAAAAATTTAATAAATATCAGTATTACAATAATTGTAATAATTAAAAAGTAAAAAAATGAATGATTATAATGCTAACGTGTGAATAGATTATAGATTATTGATTATTGATTATTGGCTTACAGGGCCAACAGCAACGCAAGTTACCAATAATGGAACAGCAGTGAGTAACGCAAATGGGTTTAGTCCAGTATCCCTTACACTTAACTCTCTGGCTGGGACAGCATCGTTAAGTGCTGGTGCTAACGCTGGTAGCCTTCAAGACTCATTAAACAATGCTTACTCAAGCTTGCAACAATATGCAGGTACATTACATTCGCTCAATAATAGTAATAGTAATAATATTTACAACAATTATTCTCCTTATATTATTAATTTACAAATATTCAATTAATAATAAAACTAGTTTGAGGTTGGTGGATTTTTAGATTCTCATGGTTTTAATTACAATTATCTAATAAATTATTATTATTAAAAATTATAATTAATGAGTTAAATTTATTAATTCAAAAAAATTTCTTGTTTTTAATTAGTAACTAGAAATCTTGCATTGTTAAATTGCACTGTACTTTCTTAAAGATTGAAGTTTTTAAAGATATGAGCTCATCCCGATGTTACACTCATCAAGAGCTTTCATTTGAGTACCTACATGCATTTTCATATATTTTTCATATATACATATATATAATATATATAAATTTATGAAAAGTTGATGTGGGTACTCAAATGAAAGGTCTCGATGAGTGTAATGTCAGGATAAGCTTATATCTTTAAAAATATCAATAATTAAGACATGACTTGGTTTCTTGTCAACTATTGACATTTTTAAAGATATAAGCTCGTCCCGACATTACACTCGTCGAGACCTGTCATTCGAGTACCCACATCGATTTTTCATATATTTCATATATTTATATATATATATATATA